GACATCCATGCAGATTCAAAAATGGAATAGGTTTTCTGTAGAGGAAAAAGACTTTAAGGTCTGATATTTAATATCCTCTTTTGACCTGAACCTAATCCGGGAAGTAATGGAAAAAAAACATTTATCCACAAAGAAGAAATTAAAGACAGTCTTTCGAACAAAGTATGAAAAGAAGGACTTAAAATCTTATCTCTTATAACATTTGTGGAACAAAGAACGACGCCTTACCAAGCGTGTGTTATAATGTAAACAAGGCAAATAGATGCGTGCACCTATCTCCATCTAGTGAGGGAAACACTAACTATAGATTTGAAAATTTTTTTGTATATTTTTCATAAAGATTTTTTAGGGTTTTTTTATATTTTGCTTCTGATTTTTTATAAATTTTTTTGACGTTTTTATGCATTTTTAGAATTTTTATTTTCAATTTTTTAAATATTTTATTATTTTTTATTTATTTTCATTATTTTGTTCAGGTAAAATTGCAGGTGAGCCATTAAAAATGTAAGAGGGTGTGGAATGAGTATCGAAGCCACTACCAGTGCAATGGAGAAATTGAGAGGAAAATTTTATAAATACTTTAATTCTTAATAATAAAGTAGTGAAGTGGGTATCCGTTTAGCGTTAAATTAACATTTAAATTATCAATGGCTTTGACAATAGGAGAATGGTTGTTGCAGATATTTTTGATTCTTTTAATTTGAGAGTGGATGGTATTTTTAATGACTTTTAGGTTGAGATTGGTATGATAATGACAAAGAGAAATGGCTCTAAAATTAAAGTCATCTCTCTTATCATAGATACCAACCGAAATGCTTGAATCTAAAATTTTAATTACTAGATCTAAATAATTACAAATATTGTTATTATCTTTGTTTTTATTCAGTTCTTCAGGATAGCAGTTAATTAGATTGTCCAGGTTGTCAAAGTCAAATACAATAAGGTCATCAATATAACGATAGGCAGAAATGAGATTATTTTTTATGAATTTTCTCTCGAATGTATGAAGAAAAACATTCGCCAGTGCACTGGAGAAACTCGTACCCATAGGAAGACCACACGATTGCATTATTTATATAACTCAAAATCCCCAATCACTCCGTAATTTCGGAAAATGATTTCACTCTTTAGTAATTTTTATTATCGACAAATTTCATCAAATAAAACACATACAAAACTTCAGTCATAAGTAATTTAATTACATTACCTTAATTTCTGAAACTTTCATCATTTAAATGTCTGTAATACTTGTTCACAACTAGTAGTTTTCGGGAATTATTTAATTTTTAAATTTAAAAACTCAATTGCATATTATTTAAAAATTTAAAAGAGAAACCTAAGGGTCTTATAAATAAATTCACTACATGTTTTATCTACAAAAGCCATATCGAAGTTCTTCATACATTCAAATAACTTTTTAAAATAATAAACAAATTTTAAAAAAATAAAAACAGCTCTTGTCTCATTAAATACTGAAAATTTTGTAAGAACCAATTTATTTATTTCGTTCTCATTAAAAATTTTGACATGAAATCGTCTTTCCGCTCGTTACAGTGATAGTCCGCCAAACCTTCGTCTGTGACAAAATACAGTCAGATTTGAATCGCTAATAATGCGGACTAATAATGCGGAAACATAGGTTGTCCAACAACGAATAGATAATATCTGTAAGAGTTTGTCGCATATTATTTGTTTTGTCTGTGACGTCATCGTACCAGTATAGGCGCATGCGCGTGATTGTTATGGATTAGCTTTATGTAAGGTTATAAATAAGTCTAGCGTGGAAACGCGTTTAGCTAAGAGGTTGATTCTGGTGTCATTTTAAAGGGCTTGAGGAATATTACCAGAACCCGAATGAGGCAATGAAAACATTTATCAGAATATAAGTAAAAAATTGGTATTAAATTGAAATTTTCAAACTCCGCATGTTTTTTGATTGTAACATGCAGAGTTTTCTTTCGAATTGTACAAAACTTACAGAATACTTGACAATACGTAAAAGAAACATTGTTTTAAAATTTGAATTCAAAAATTTAAATATTACGGGAAATATGAGCATTTGTAGTAAATAATGTTTTACTGCGCATATGCGAAATGTAGTTCTAAATACTGTCAATACTGTCTAAATACTGTATGGCGCCATCAAAAGTTACTCTAAATAAAACATAAGAAAGGCGCAGTTCAGGCCTCGCCGTAGATTTTTCGTGAAAAAGTCTGGATAAAATTATAAAACAAGTATTTCGTATTAATATGCAATTCAATTATCAATCTCTTTAATACAGTATTTACACAGAGTAGTATAATGGTTACAGAATAGATAAATCACAAGTTTATCGCATGCAGCAAGGGTATGTGGTAACTTGTGATTTAACTATTCTGTATGTAACCATTATACTTCTCTTTGTAAATATTGTTTTAAACAGATTGATAATTAATTCACATATTAATACGAAACACTAGTTTTATGATTTTATCCCGACGTTTTCACGAAAAATCTAAGGCCCGGACCCGAACTGCTCCTTTCTTGTGTTTATTTCGAGATAACGACTAGTTTTAACCCTAATTCATGTTTAAGTTTAGCTTTTCAATTTTGTGTAGATGAATTGTTCTAGAATTTGTAATCCATTTAAGTTAAATAAATATTTTCATTTTACCTTGCAATATTTTATGACAAATTTTTAAATAACATTATTATTGAATTTAGAGATAATAAGTATTTGCTTTAAAAAATCTAAACTGATATTCTAGATTTTGTGTAGACATTATTATTTCTCCTTCTTGTAATTAAATTTGGTAAATCGATAGTTTTAGATTTTTTCATACTGCTGTTTTTACATTTTATTAATTAATTATTTTAAATAATAATTTTCTTTCTATTATTTAAGCTAACTCAATTTTATGCTTTTATATATCTTCAACGAATTTTAAGAGTTATTTATTCTTATAAATAAAATGCTCCTATGAGTACTCTGAAGATAATATCATGAAATCATGCATCCGGTGATTATCCATTCAAAATGACATCGAAAACCAACAGTACTCTTGATAAATCATTGGTATTAAGCTCAGATTCACACATAACAGAAATATAGTTAATAGTTATTAAGTTATTGCTTGTTAATAAAAATTTAAAAATACGTACATATATAAATTCATTTTTAAAAATTGTTTGTTTATAAAGTTTTGAACACATGCGAAGTGTTCCGATGTTTTATATATTTTTAATACCCTAAAAGGAACTCCAAACTCTAACCATGCCTGCTCTTTTATTCTTCTTTGTCGAATGTTTAACCATCTTATTACTAAATCCATTATGCTTAAGTTAGAAAGATTTCAGAAGAGTCTAGATAAAATTTCGCCACTAAATTACCTTTTCTTAAAATATTCATTCAAAACCTTTGTTAATTAAACTTATTAGCTATAATTCCTGAAAAATGTTTCATTTTGTACATTATCTTAGGCATATTTATAAAGTTTTAATACTTCCAAATGTTCTTAAAGTAATCCAAAAAACAGTCATCCAACCACCCCACCAGAATGATATCGCTGGAAAGTAACCGTTCTTACCACTAAATCGCATTAAGATTGGCTGTTAGGTTTAGTGTAGGCCCATGGTTAATATTTCTTCACTTAATTACTTTAATAGTCGATACTCTGCCGCGACCCAGCGTTGAGGTTTTGTTTTTAATCACCGTCATAACGCGATCTGCAGCCATTTCGTATCGAAGGAACCCCAAGGCTCCTAAAGGCTTAGTTCCAGAACACTAAAACGTTAATGGCTCCTTACGACAGTTAGCTCAGTTCCCCATTTCTAAATCCAGAGATTATTTTGTCGTGTCATAGCTCGTGTTTTTGTATTATTGCTCATTCTTTGACGGGATTAATCCCCAGTAAGTTTTCGCGGATTATTAAGCTCCCCCTTTCGGGCGCGCTGCACAAAATGGCCGACATTATTTTTCAAAAGATACCGCAGAAACGGGCGCCATGTTTATTAAGCGAGACAAATTGAAGCGATATTTTTGGCTGATACTTCGCAACGGAGAGGGAGATATCTATAAAGTATGAGGTCCTGAGAGGATTTTCCACCCCTCTGAGTATTAACCCGAGTTATTAGAGTCATTTTTAATGCAGATTTTCCATTTGTTAATTTCGTGAAACATGACCTTTCTTTCTTGCCTTCATTAGCAGGAGGGGTGCAATATTTTATGTGCTTTAACTCTGAGATAGCGCTTATTTCTGGGACTTAACAATAAAATGGTTTATCTGTCTTTTATTATTATTAATAGCCGATGGAATGTATTGTGCAGAATTCCAAAATTTGCAGGGAGCGATTTGAATAAAGCTAGTGTTAAGCTAAGAAGCTAAGCATGCGCTTGAACTCAGATTAAAAGGAAGTTTTTAGCATTAAAAATAACAGTTTACAATTGCCGCATTTTATGTTTGGCCTGAGTTTGGTAAAGAAAGACTGATGTGTGAATAGAAATACTAGCTTAAGATACCACCTTTGTTTATTAAGAAGAATTGAATGGAAATGCCTAATACGAAAGGGAATGTACGCTAAAACCAAAGTTTCACTGATTCAATCAAGTTATTAATAATGCTGGCTCAGCTTTTTGGCATGAAGAAACCTGAAACATACGGGAATAAATTCATTATCATAACTTTAAAGGGATTAGGTTATCTGGAATTATATTTTGTTTGTCAATCGCGCAAGAGTTTACCAGTTAAAAATATCACAAAGGAGTCATCCTCCGTTCTGTCTAGGCATATGGAGCTTTGGAATGACCAGTACTACGATAGCGGTCGGGAACTAAGGTCGGAGTCCTAGTAGCCATCAAGGGCAATATCCCTGCCCCTCGAAGGAGATTCGTCCCGTCATAGGAGTGGAGGTGGCCCAGCTTACACCATTGCATATCAGGGAAGCGAGAACGATCTTACCTATCCGGCGGCTTCTCATCCGTGAGCTCGCGGTGCTCCCAGTTGGAATAAAAAGGTACCAACTGCACTAGTTGTTCCCAGGTGGTCACCCTCTCAAGTACTGACCGCGCCCAATGCTGCTCAACTGCGGTGATCAGACGAGAATTGGTGCTTTCAGTATGATATATCCGTTGTCCCAGTTAAAAATATGAAAGGTGTAATAATTTGACTTTTTCCTCGATAATGGCCTGTTATTAGGAAAGTAGAAACTTGAAAATAACCTTTTTTCCAGATTTCCCCTATCTATTCACGCTTTTGCGCAGATTCTTAAAATTACATTCAGATAATACTTTAAGTGCAATTTTGAATTAAAAATCATATTATTAACATTATTTACTTTCAGCACTTCAAGTTTTATCTGTTGAGAGAAAGATATATCTGTATAAATCAAAATTAATTAAAATTCTTAATGTCTTGACATGGAATTAATTAAAAGACTTAATATAGTTATGTACAGTAAGGTAATATATAAAAAGGTATCGATATAAAATCAAATTAAGTTTTAAAGCTACTTTATTGGATATATCTTTATCACACTTAGTATAAATAAAATGCATACACTTTTTAGGCAAGCAATTAGAATCGGTTAAGACAAATTATTATTTTGTGTCTACTTTTCAGTTATTTTATTTTACATTTTTATAGTTTTTATTGATTTATATGCTTTCAGTGGAAAACAAAACATTTTCCACTAGTTATCAACATTAATTATCATTTTACTATACTATTCTGTTGTATCAACTTCTCGTGAAAGAGCATCCGAACAAAGGTCACGTATCTAACATGTAATTCAATAGTATATTTTCGAAAGAGCACTTCTTTGAAAAAATGTATCTAGTTAGAGTTCCAGCTTTAATTTGCTTTGTTGACTTAACCTACATTTATTCATACATTTGGTAGGTGCTGATATTTATGATTGTTATTGACTGACTTTTAGAATATGTTGTAGAACTGATTAGTTAAAATTTATACATCTTTTTTCAGGTCCTCCAATGTTTCATACGTGGTCCATAGCCTTGTTACTATCTTACTTCATCACATTTTCATCCATAGGTAAATACAATTTATTTCTCTTTATTTTGTTTGAAATGCCTGATGCATATCTTTTCTGTAAATATTTACTCAACAAGAGTTTTGTAGACATTTACTCAACAAAAGAAATTGCACACCGACAAGCTTCGATACTAGTAGAAGTGTTTGTGCTAATTGTATAATTAAAAGGAAAGTTTTTTTATTTTTTGTATAAAAACAAAAAAATGTCTTATTATCTCATGAAGTCGATGGGTTTGTTCTTTTCAAAGACCTAACTACCATGCTACCGTTTCATTTGGGATTCTAAAACGACATTGGCGGCGATTGGGTGGCAAAAGTGGGGAGTGGCAAAAACTTTATAGACACCTAAAAGTACCCAGTAGTATAGGGGGTAAACAACTAAATTTAAAAATTTAGTAACAAAATTTGCTGCTTTTCTCGGACATTATTTTTTTTTCATGCTTCCTAGTTTTAGGCCACTAAAATGAAAAAGAATTGATTTTTTCCGCAAAAAAAAGTGGTCTCGCCCCCTCGAGTCGCCGCCACTGTAAATCGAGTTATTAATTCCTTTTCTTCATATTTTCATCATCTTTAATGGGGAATATTTTTGACTCAACTTCACTGCTTTCATCGCAAAATCCTGAGAAATATACGGAGAAATAAACTATGAGAAGCAGACCAGCTCTGTAAGTTTATATTTGTGATTAAGTATGCCATCTCATAAATAGTTTTTATTAAATTGAACTAAAATATAATTTGCATCTTGAGTACAGCATTGATTTTCACCCTAATTAAAAGGGAATAGTTTTAACTGTAAATCATAAGCGCGTGAAAGTTGTTTTGTCAAGATATCCGGTAACATTTATTAAACATAATGCCTTATTGCTCGGAAATTGTTTTCAATTTCTTAGAGCAACTTCAGTTTACATTGCAGCATTTTTTCTTTTATTTACATATGAGTATCGGAGATAAAAAAAAACAGCTGTAATTTCGTTTTAAAAACGTATGCTAGTTTTAAAGCATTGCAGAACTGATGTAAAAATAGCATAGGATGGAATTTCTCTTTTCTGTTCATTAGTGTGGTGCAGGGTTTCCCAACCATTTTTCCCTCACGTACCCCTTGATTAGTCTTTTTATTTTCACGTTCCCTCTACTGTCATATCCCCCTCCAACCATCCCTCTATACAGAGAAGTTTTTATCAATAATGTTAAGGACCCAGGTGAGCCTAAAAGACAAATGACTGGAATTTATAATATTTGCAGTACTTATTTGTGATTTCACATTTTATTCCATTTTTACAATATTATTAGTTCAACTTCAAAACGGATGAAATCAGTATTGTAAAAATTTCGCATTAACTTATAAGGATAGCTAAAAATTAAACTTCCTTTTGCTTTTTTTTTTCATATTTGGAAGGCAAGTTTAGGACTTGCATAACTTTTACTTTCTACACGAACTTCGGGAAACAAAATTCTGTAACATTTTTTAATCCTTTATGATTTCTTGTGTCAGCCATTACATTTCTTGTGTCCCCCAACTGGTCCTTCTTGAACCTCCAGGGGTACGCGTATCACAGGTTGGAACCTCTGGTGTAGTGCATCTTATTCCTTTAACCACGGTGGTTTATTCCTTTTTTTAAATCTAAGTTCGTGTGTGAATTTCTCATATTATTCAGATTTGAAATTTTGTTGTCAGAATTGAAATAGGAAACTGAATTTTTAAATTTAAGAAAAAATAAAAATTTTTTTTTATCTCCCTATCTTTTACATTGTGTAGAAATGACTGCTTTTAAATGTATATAAAATAAATTTTCGATAGAGAAATGTAACAAGCTACAAAATTACACAATAAAACACAAGCTACAAAATTAAAGGGGAGAAACGCTCTTATCTCGCGGATCATAATAAAAGTATAAAATAATCTCTCCTTTAACTGATTTTTTGGCTGATTATTAGGTTTATCGCATGCATTTATATTTTATGCAGTAATTCAGCCTTTTTAGCAAATTTGAGCGCCCTGGGATAGGGCATTTTGGCACCCCATCAAGACCGTGACTAGGAATTTCAGACCTATAGCCCCACGAAAATATCTAATAAAATAATTAAGAGCAATGAATAAATAAAACAAGTAAATTTGATACCCTACTGTGATATTAGGTATCAGCGTCCAACTACCTACTTTACTACCTTTTTCTCACTAATTATCTCTTCATGAATGTGTTTTGAAGTGATATGCATGTTTATGTAGCACTAATTCCAAGCCTTAATCATATATTTTTACTTTATCATAGTTCAAATGCATTTCAATTTTTTTTGGTTCAGAATTAAAATCAGTAAACTTTCAGGCCCCTTGGATCAATGGCACCCCTGGGCTACAGCCCAATGGCTAAGACAGCCTTGAATATAATACGAGTCTGGAAAATCACGAAAGTTCATGAAGATTTTGATTTCCAGTGTTCCATTTTGATTTTCCGTATTTGATACCTTATTGCCGAATTAACAATCTGGTGCAGAGCGAGGTTCTAAAACTTCCGAAAAAGAACTAACGATCCATCACCGTAAGTCCAAAACCTTCATGCAGTGGTATCAATAAAGTATTACTGCTTCATCGTTTACTACTAACCCCCTTCAGGCTATAAAAAGAACACCGAAGACCAAACCTGTAAAACAAACTATCCCAGAATGCCTTTCGGCGTCGGCGGAGGGGGTGGATGCCAGACGTGATTGCTAAAGACAAGAGAAAAAGACATAGTTCTTCTGTCCCCCCTAGCCCCGTCTAATGCCCCTGATTGAATTTGGTGCGGAAGCAGAACCAACAGGCCAACCCACCCCATACTCTCGTTATCAGGGAGAAAAGAAATCACTTTGATCAAATGAGGGAGCCCAGGTTCGAGATTAGGGGGTGCGGTGAGTGAAAGGGGGGTTTTCGCTTCCCAGGTAACCTCATCACCCCCACCTCTCTTTCTACTTCCTTTCGTATTTCACTTGGTTCACGGGCACAGAAAAAGCTGTAAGGTAAGAGGACGTATTTATCTTAGCCAAGCGAGATTCGCTCATGTTATTAATGAAATTCTTTTAAAATTCCACGCAGGCAGAAGGAAAAGACTTTTCATAATACTTTTTTATGTGTACAAAATATGTAGGAAAATAAGACTTTTTAATTTGTAAAATTCAAAGCCAACCAAAATTGACGGAACCACACAATTCTGTTTTTTTTTTCTTTATATACAATCACTGCAAGGATTTATTTGTTTTTTACGCAGTTTAAGACCTATAATTTGTAAAGAAGAGGAATTGCAGGTTACTCAAATTTGCATATGGTTGATCAAAACTCCATGAAGTTTAGAATAACTAGTTAAGTTGATAAATCAAATGGCGAAAAAAAAATTAATAAATCGAAATCAAAAATCTGATAATTATCTAAAGTATATCTACTCCGTCAGGTAGTTTGCTTACTTTTCAACTAATGCAGAATATTGTTTTCATTTATAAATATTTTAAGCTTTTCTAAAACATTCACACCTTCATCACCTCATAATATCTTATAATAAACTAATCTCATGATCATATTGAATTTAACAATCTAGAGTATAAAAATCTTGAATATAATCTTTCGATTTTATGAATTCCTGAAAGTGCAGATGTAACCTTTCATAAGAAATTATTTGTGCCATGAGTTTAATATTTAATGAAAAAAATCATTTTAGGATATAATTAACGAGAGTATAATTTTCAAATTATTTGCTGATTTAACATATATATTCTGGTCATAAAATGCAAAATCGTAATTGAACAAGAAATTAAACTAATACATTGGAATAGGTGTCTCAGTAAAATTAAAATAAATTAATGGAACAGAACTAAATACTTCTCATGTCATCATCTGAAAGCTATCTGACACCAGGAAAGTTTTTATAACACTCTCAGGTATAAAAAAGAATAATTCAGGAAAAATCCTATTGAGAACAAAATTTTAAATGAACCTTGCCTTTGTAAGAACAATTGTTAGATCCCAAAATACGCAAATATAAGTGTCAAAACAGGAATAATATGAATAGATTTTTTGAACAGATTTGGAAGTCTTTGGATTGCAAATATA